TATGTCGTCAATATGATCAAAACGACGTTAATTTGTTTTAATAAAATGTATTTATTAATTAAAAGGCGTGGTAAAATATACTCCAATGTTGGCTCGTTAAAATTTGGTATCTTTTCCAAGCGTTGGTTTTACGACGAATGACTCGAAGCTTTGCGAAATAGCAAAATTCCAATCGCAATGTTCGAAAAAGTATACATACATATAAACCAGCATATAAACGGTTTTTAAAGAGAATACAAACTATTAATGTTAGCAAACGATCAAATTGTATACAGAAATTTTGGGATACATAAATACATAAGGTAATCTTCGAAAATGAGAGGATTGAGAGGATTCGAAATTAGATGCATAAAGCAATATTAATAAATACATAAAGCAATCTTCGAAAATGAGAGGATTGAGAGGATTCGAAATTAGATACATAAATGACTGATAGAACATCTGTTTTAACTTATTTGCTATCAGAGTTGTATTTTGATGCTGGTGGTGGTTTTCACGCACCTTGTAATGGGGGTATTCAGTAATCTCGCCAACATTCTACCTCCAGGTGAATCCTTATTGGGATTCACAAATATTTAAAGCGGCTAGCTTTGCGGCTGGTCTTCGCAAATCTCCTGTGCTGGTTTGAACTATAGCGGATCGGACTTGGCCATCCTTTGCGGCGAACACTTCCTTAATTCTGCCTTTGAGCCATTTACTTCTCGGGAAATTTGGTTCGCATACTATTACCAACTGTCCTGGCTGTAGTGGTTTGACTTGTTCCCTCCATTTTGGGCGACATATTAGGGATGGCAAATACTCACTGGTCCACCTTTTCCACAAACGATCTTTCAAGGCTTGCGAAATTCTCCATTGCTTTCTGGTGCACAACTTTTCTTCTTCGAGACTTGGAGTTTGCGTTGAATTCAGGCAACCCAACAAAAAGTGGTTCGGCGTTAGCGGCTCTTAGTCGTGATGTGAGATTGGAATATCTGTAAGCGGACGGCTGTTTAAGATGTTTTCAGCTTCAATTAAAGTACTTCTGAATGTTTCCAGACGAGGCGCTTCTTCCTTTAGCACTCGCTCCAAAAGTCGCTTTACACACTGAACCAATCTTTCCCAGCATCCTCCAGCAGCCGGGTTCGCAGGGCAATTAAAGATCCACTCTATACCGCGTTCGGCGCAATCTTGTTCAATACGGTTAAAGTCAAATAGTCTCTCTTCGACGCGTAATAGTTTTTGGGCGCCAACGAAATTAGTTCCGTTATCGCTTCGCATTCGTACGGGTGTGCCACGACGGTTGATGAAGTTTCTGATGCAGATTATGAACGCATCGGTCGATAAATCCTCAGCTACCTCCAGGTGTATGACTCTGACGGTTAAACACGAGAATAACGCAACCCAGCGTTTCTCTCTACGACGACCAATAGTGACGAAAAATGGACCGCAGTAATCGACTCCTGTGTAGCTGAATGGACGAACGTAAGGCGTGAGGCGATCGACAGGCAATTGACCCATCATCGGCGCACTTGGCTTGGCTGTGTTGATGATACATACGGAACAACGCTTTTTTACTGACGTAAGCACTGCTCGGATGTGTGGTACCCAGAACTTTTGACGAATTTGATTTATTGTGAGACAATCATTCTGATGGTGAAGCTTTTTGTGCCAATATGAAACTAAGAGACTGGTTACGTGGTGGCGTAGAGGCATTATGATTGGACGACGTGCCGATAGAGGGAGGCAATATGCTGCATCGATGCGGCCATTCACTTTAATCAAACCATCGATGTCTAAAAATGGCGTAAGTTGGTATAACGGGCTCGACTTCGACACTTTTTGCTTGGAGAGCAACTCTTCTAATTCGTTAGGAAAGACCTCTTCCTGAACGCGGCGACATACGAAGACTTCTGAGTCAGTGATCTCAAATGCTTTTAGCTCTCCTGAACGGCGACTACGGTTTCTTGCGTTAAAGTTGAATCGTAACACCCAGCTCGTTACCCTAAGTAACTTCAAAAAAGACGAAAATTTTGTAAAATTAATGACATACTCATCTGTTGTTGAGGTGAGAAGCAAGATTTTCTTCTCCTCGGCAGCACATTCTGTTGACGTAAGTGGCGTAACTTCTTTTGGCCACTCGGATTCTGGGAGTTGCAGAAAGGTAGGCCCCTTGAACCAGCGGTTTCGTGCATCGGATTCTGTCATGGGCTGACCTCGTGTGGCATCGTCGGCAACATTCAACGACGAGGGCAACCATCTCCACTGTAATGGGTTTGTGCTAGGAATGATTTCGGCGATTCTACCAGCGACGAATTGTTTGTATTCTCTAGTCGTCGAGCGGATCCAGAGCAATACTGTCTTTGAGTCACTCCACAATACGATGCGATGTATATTGAAGTCGTGGTATTCCACAACTGACTTCTGAAGACGGCTACCAAGAACTGCGGCTTGCAGTTCCAAGCGGGGAATTGTCATGCCCTTAAGAGGAGCACAACGCGATTTAGCGGCGACAAATGCGATATCAACGTCTTCCCCTTTGCATATGCGCAGATATGCGACGGCTGCATATGCACTAGAACTGGCATCCACGAACACATGTAACTGCACCTCGTCTGCTACTGGCAGCATTGTAGAATGGCATCTTGGGATGGAAAGTTTATTTACCTTTTGAAAACTTGTCCACCATGACGTCCACTGCACAACGAGTTGGTTCGGGATTGCTTCATCCCAATCGACTTGACGTTTCCACAAAGACTGCAGCAGAATCTTCATACATACTGTGACATTAGCTAAAAATCCGAATGGATCGTATATAGCCATCACGATCCCTAAGAGTTCGCGTTTTGTTGGCGGCCTTGTGCAATCAAGAACATCACGTGCGATCTTGTGAAACCTTGTGTGGAACTCGAAGCAGTCAGTGAGGGTATTCCAGTACATACCCAACACCTTGTCGACAATAGACTTTCGCTCCATGTCTACAACACTATCTGCGAAATTGTTCTCGCCATTCAGTTCGGCTTGAAGACCTTTGTCGTTTGACACAAATTTCCTTACCTTAAACCCTGCAGCAGAGTTTATAGCAACTGCTTCCTTCGCGACTTCTTCGGCTTCTTGCGCACTTGCAAAACTGATAACTAAGTCATCAACATACATATTGTTAATGACAGCTGACGATCCACCTGGCATGTTGGATTCAAATTTCAAGGCATTAATATTTTTTATATACTCTGCGCAGCACGGTGAGCATATGGCACCAAAAATCAGCGAGGACATAACGTAGGTCCGGATCGTCTTCGAGGGATCCCCATCGCGCCATAAGAACCGTTGCGAATTCTGGTCGTCAGGTTTGATGGCTACCTGGGAAAACATCTCTTGCACATCTGCAGCGACGGCTATAACCCCTTGGCGAAATTTGAAAATTATTGTAAGCAAGGATTGTGCATGCTCCGGGCCCTTGAGTAAGGCTGAGTTGAGCGATACATTCGACGTGGCAGCGGCGGCGTCAAACACAACACGTAGTCTACCTGGTTTGTGGGGGTTGACAACCCCAAAATGTGGTAGGTACCAGGTCGTAGGAGTAGTTAGTAAAACTTCATCTGGATTCAGTAGCCTAGCGTAGCCCTTATCGACATATTTTTGAATTTCACGTTTGTAGCTATCGGCGTAATTGGCATCTTTCGCCATCCGAGCTTCAAGCTTCCTCAAGCGATGGAGCGCCATATCGTAACTAGGAGGGAGCACGAGGTCATCATTCCTCCATAAAAGACCAACCTCGTATCTGTGTCCCAGAAACTTCGTTGATTTCTCCAAGATCTCTCTTGCACGACGGTTTTCGTCCGATTCTAAAAGTACATCGGTACTTCGAACGCCAAAACTCTCTACTGAAAAAATACTCGTTGACCAACTTGTGCAAAGCTTGCAGAGACTGCGATTGTGATTCGCGGATATACATGACGCGTGGTTGTCGGACTGAACTCTGAGACAGTGGGCCATAGGCTACCCACCCTAAACGAGTTGCAACGGCTACTGGTTGTTCTGGTCCAGCATCAACTACCTTTTGTGCAACCCCCAGGTAGCTGTTGTCTATACCCAGCAAAATTACTGGCTTGGCGTTCATGTAACTTACTATTGGCAACGGTAGGAAATGATCAAATTTATTCTTATCAAACGTTTGTTGTGGCAAATTTAATGACCTTACGGTGTGAACGTTTTTTAAGGTTGAATTCAGCGGAGTCACCTTTAATATTGACAGAAACCTTACGTCCACTTTCTTTATTTTAACTCTCACCGTACCATTGTAATGTTAATGGAACATTTGGACCACGCAGACCTAACTTGACAGCTATATTCTCCTCGAGAAGTGTTATGGACGACCCTTCGTCGAACATGGCGTAGGCAGATATACTTCCATTAGGTCCTGACAACGTAATTGGCAAAATCTTAAAAAGACTTGTCTGATCTTCAAACAAACAATTCAGCACGCGTTCAACATTTACCGCGCCTGGCTGGAGTATACCCTGATGCAGCGATGTGTGGTGCATACGCATGCACCCGTTGACAGAACATACTTTACTTTGGCGGCAATTCGAAAGGCTATGCCCTTTACGTAAACACCCAAAACACAAATGGTTGCTTTTAGCGAAACTCCATCTTGACTGAATATCGCGTGACAAGAATTTAGTATAATCCACTAGTTTATGTGATTGTCCACACTCTAAACAAATCACCTTTTGCTCCGGCTGTACATCATTATTATAAAGAATGCGACGAGTAGAACCGCTGCTTTGACGAGTAGCATTGCGGGGGCTGCGCAGCTGGCGTTGGCTGCGAGACGCTCGCTTGGATGTGATGTAACGACATGTCCGAAACACCCGGCAGTAACGACACAAATCTGGCTACTTCGCTTAACCAGTCACCAAAATCTTCCACTGTTGGAAACGGCAATATATTGGCGGCCCGTTGGCTCCATTCATATTGTTTGGAAGGAGGCAACTTTCCCACCAAACTTTCCAACAGTGTAGGATTCATTAAGTGGTGTCCGCACCTGGCGGACTTGAAGAAAGCGACGATATTTCTGACCCTGTTTGAAAATTCCAATACTTGTTCGAGCTGACTCTCATTTATGGACGGAAAACGTTGCACCTTTTGCAGCTGTGACTTAATGAGTAGCTCCGGACGACCAAAGTTAAACTCCAACTCTTTTATCTTTTATCCAACTCTTTTATCACGTCCTCCGGATAAATCAGAAGTGAAGTAACAGCACGTTTAGCGGCGCCTTGTAAAGCTTTATGCAGGCGCATTAGGTTTTGTCTATGGCTATACTGAAACTCATGTGTAGTGTCGTTGTAGTTGGCCAAAAATAACGGCCAATCCTCCGGATTTCCATCGAAGGACGGCAATGGAAACAATTTGGCGGCGGAATTGTCCATGAAAGTCAAGGCGGCTGTGTTTATCGTCGGAGTTTGCATCAAACGTGGCGGCATTCGCGTTGATGTAAATTGCGGCTGAGATTCAGTTGCCGCCGGCGCTTGCGTCGACGTACGCATAGGCGGCGCGGCGTTGTCGGATACGGCAGCGTTGGCAAAGCTGTCGCCGACTTGTGGCCTACTACGCAAAGTGTCAATTCTCAATTCGGCAACACATTCCCGAAGTGAGGTTATGCTAGAAACCAGCAATGCAATCTGGTCACATGGAATGGCAACTTGTTGCACTTCTAATGAATTTTCCGATTGTTCCATGTCGTTTACTGTAGAACTGTACTCTGACTCGCAAATGGATTCCGAACTGCTTCCAATATTTTCAGCTTGGGATTGTGCACCGCAAACCGCTTCTGTGTTATTTCGAATTTCCTTTGCTTTAGCTCTAGTCAGCATTGGATGCAGCAAATTTACGCAGGAAAAGCAAATTTTAAACTATGTCGTCAATATGATCAAAACGACGTTAATTTGTTTTAATAAAAT